TTTTTACCAGTACTCATATTGCAACTTTGTTGTTGTCATTGCTTTTCTCTGGCACTCCTTATTACTGGTTCCCATGTTGTATTTATTTCTATGCTTGGTCGGCTCAGGAGATTTTTGTGGCCTAGCATATGTGCTGATTCCTTAAACGTTGTGATAAATATGGCGACACAGATGAGGACAATAGTCCTAATAATGTAAATAATATATATATATATATATATATTAAAAATTACTATATTTATAAAGGAACAATGCTCAGTCGAAGGAACTTAACGTGTTTTCTACCTACAACCACATAACGATTACAAAGGCTAAACAACTCATAATCATGATTTAAAACTAATAATATTTCATTAAAGATAAATCGTAACCTATGAAGTACAAAAGGTTATAAGAGAAAAATGAATAAATAACTAAAATAATGCAAAATCTCGACACTTGTAGACATTGTTTTTAATTTTAAAATAAAACACGTTATTATTTAATTTTATCAATAAGATAAATGTGTATACATAAGTATGACACAATGTTGATTTTTATAATTTTAATTTTAATTTCCAACATATATAACAATATTCTCTAGACTTCGTTGTCAAGGGTTTGGCTTATGAATATGGGTTAGTGTAAGGGGTTAGGGTTAGACAACGAGGAATTTAAAACTACGCAAATCTGGAAACCACGTCAATAAATTTATCAAGTACAGTCATGGCAATTAACTGATATTGAAGAAAAAGATAACTGTACAGACCTGAAAGGACATTGCGTCAAAATAAACCCACTTGATTCCTGAAAATATGTTTGTTAATAAACAGAAATATAGATTTCTTGTTTACTTCGATTTAATATCTTAGATTTTGTTTGCAAAAGACAATAACAATAATTAAAATATTTTCAATGAAAGTTTTTTGTGCCTTTCAAAAACAAAAACAAAAAAAATCTTATTTCCATTTTAATTTTTTCGAATACAATTTTTTTTTCATTACGTCTTATGCTGTACTGATAAGCTGAGATATAAAATATTGTTCAATTGACACAATAAATAGAATGAATCGATTTTTTTCGTATTCAGATGAGATTTGCAATGATATGTCACGTGTTAGAAACAAAAGAAAGTTTTTAGATGAGTATCTATCGTTTTTGACCAGCTTATGATTTTTTTAAAAGTCATTTTTAAAATTACTTTTCCAACATTAAAATTCAATACTTTTTTTCTTTTTACATTTCGATCAAGTAAGTAGAAATAGTTATATTTTTCGTTGCTATTTTCAACTGGCCAAATCAATAGTTGTCTCAGCTGAATTCGTCAGAATTCGTCCTCATGGATTTTATCCAGAGAAAAAAGCGTACAAAAAGCCGACAGCAAACTGTATAACTAAATTAATAGATTTCCAGTGTCTATAACCTTTTTTCGTATGATAGGCAAATAGCAAGGAAGCAGTTTCAATCTAAGGAAAGATAAATTGCAAACAAAAATCAAAAGTAATTTTTCTTGGGAATCATTCTACTGCAGAATAATGTGGAATGAGGAACTGTTATTATTTACATTCTGACAGAGGCACGATGGAATAAGGATTAGTGGCTCGGATTGAGGAATCGGAGTGCCGAGTTCGAATTCGATCGAGTTCATTAAATTCATTTACGTGTTAATAACTTTGGGGAATGTATCTCTAATCCTTCGAGTAAATATCGGCTTGTATCGTTTTGATTAGCATCTGGTCTAGGAGAAGGAACACTCTGAATTCCAACGACATGCTACCTTTTAGGTCTTGCTTCTTTAATCAAGGGAATTCTATAAAAGAGGCTCAGCCACTGGCTTTTGATATCTCGAAGGCATTCTACAGGGTTTAGCATTGGCCTTCTCAACAAGGTCAACTAAAATGTATATATCGTTATCGCACTCACACACACACACACACACACACACACAAGGCAGGGTAATTTGATAAAAAAATCGACCTCACTATGGATTGTCAATCGGAGAACCAAGTTCCAATTCCCGTTGGGTTCGTTATATTCACTTACGTGCAAATACCCTTGGGAAAAGTGTGAATCCACCTCATCTCCCCTAACTACGGGTTAATTAGTAAGACTTGTATCAGTAAAGGATTCGTATGTCCAAACAAAATTATTACAATCTTCTCCTCGCAGCAATGGGTTAAATAGTAAGACTTGTATCACTAAATCATTATTATCTTAAGAAAATTCTTACAGTCTAAAATATTTTCTGGCTTTAAGTAACCTGAAAATGGTTGACAGGCCGGAGAAAATCAATGAATCAATCAATCAATAAAAGGAATTTCTAGGAATATCGAGGAAAGATTTTCCTATTTAAAATTTCTGCACCATGCTGAACATTTCAGTTTTGTTCTTTCTATTATTGTCTGAACGGAATATCTGTCCCATTCTGTGAAAATGTTATTTGTGGCATTTTTGTCTTTTGTGAAATCGCTAAATAAAAATCATGTTGCTTGCATTAACTTTCCTATGTTATCGTCAAATTTTACCCACTGACTTCATAAAATAGTTAAGAATAATTCCAAATATTCCTTTTTAATAATATTTAAACATAACATTGACAGAAATGCTTAACGAATTCTTATCCCATGTGTCTTCAGAACGAAAATCTTCAGAACGAAAGTCTTCATCGGTCAACATTCTTTATAAATTCTTAACAAGTATAGCGTAGTAGTTTCCTTTTGCCTTCTCCAGAGTTTGAAATTCGGGATTTTTTTCTCCTAGATTGGCTACCAAACAGGACTAGAAAGCCATATCTACCTTATTTCAGTCATAGCTATGAGAAGAGATGAATTCATATCTATTCCAAAACTCTTCTTATCGAGAAACACTATGGTTTCTTTTGATAAAAATAGCGAGGCTCGAGCTGTGGCTTTAGATATTTTGAAGGCATTCGACAGGGTTTAGCAAGCTGACTTTCTCCACATTGCTCAAGAACTATCGTGTCTCTCGAGGAATATTTGGTTTAATCAAATTGTCTTGAAGGTCCTAAAGAAAACCGGAGTGCGCAACGGGCGAAACATCGTGAAGATGAAGTCAACAATCCGAAAAATGTAAATAGTGTAAATAATGAGTTACGTATGTATAAGAAATTTAGTTTGCAATATTCACTTAAGAACATTTATTACTCACCCTTGCTAATGGTTAATGAGTGATTTTAGAATTAGTCACCCAATCATTACCTATTCAGCATTATCCATGTAATTTCAATCATTTTTAATTGGCTTGAAATTAACAAAAAGAATTTCATTGAGTTTTCAATTGACTAATTAGTAAATAGTAAAAAGTAACGTGTTAAACGGTTGTAGGTGTAAGGTGGGATCAAGGCTTTGTTATTTAGGCTTATCAAGTTTTTTTTTGGTGTGGAAACAAAAGAAGTATGGTAGGCGTACATCTCCAAGACAATTGCAAGCAGTCAGTAATCGTTTTCCGGTTGGAATTGCCAATGTTCATGGAAGAAAAATGGAATGGCTTGTAAGTTTATTGCCTCTAAAACAAAACTGCACTCATTTAAGAACCATAAAGAAAATTTCCTGCCTGCTATCTGCATGGCCGATGCTGTAAAGCAACACACTGCGCCTTCTTGGCTTCACGTTTTCAACTGACTTGAAGTTGAGTGACTACCTTGAATCAACAGCAGCATCTACTGCAAGGAAAGTTGGGTCACTGTGTCGTGCTAGACACTTTTTCTCGTCAGAGTCCATCTTGCATATTTACAGATCTACCATTCGTCCGGACATTGCCATATCTGGTCTGATGCTCCTGCTATTCATCTCGAGGTTCTTGACAAAATCCAAAGAAAGATCTGTAATACAATCGATCCTAACTTGGCATCTCGACTTCAGTCATTTTCTCATCGATATCGCGTCACTGCCCTCTATTTGTTTTCTAAAGATATTTTCAAGGCAACTGTTCTGGTGAACCTTTTTTTTTTCTTGGTGCCGGGGTCCTTATCCGTTTACTGTTGAAATAGGTAAATGCAACAAACACTTCTACTCTAACAGTTTATTTTCTCATACTTCCCACCTGTGGAACTCCCTTCCGTTTACTTGCTTCCCTGATAACTAAAATCTTCAAAAATTTAAATGCAACGCCAATCGCCATGTATTATCTTCTTGAATCTTCTTCATCTGTTTCTCTTTTTTCAATCCTCCCTATACTCAGACTTTTCTCTAATTTTCACTCCCTGTAACCGCTTGCCTACGTGTGGCATTTCTGACTTGCCGGAGGGAAAATGATTACAATATTTAAAAAAAAATTCACCACATAGTACTACGACCTCACCAGTATTCCTCTCTTTACTGGTTTTTGATTAAACCCTAAAACTTTCGATTCACAGATTATATTAAAATAAATGACCCATAACTTCAAATCACGAGAATGTATTTCCATATCTTAGCAGATAATTATCATTTTTTTACGAGTAGTTGTTTCATGTTATTATTTTTCGTTATTATCATTATGATGTTATTATTTTCTGTTATTATTGTTACTAGCAACATCTAGATCGTTATTCTGCTACGGTTATTCCTGATTTTGAATGCCTAATTCCTGGAGTTGGGCCATTCTTTTATTCAAAACATAAAGAATACGCGTTGCTACTGCTTTTTTGATGTAAAATTCAGCCTCTATTCTCCAGATTTATTAACCGTGTACCTTGAATATTTTTCTTTACTGATAGTTTACCCAATACAAAGCCCAAGGGCCACCCAAGGTAGAGCGTTAAAGAGTGGAATTGTAAGAGCGTTAGAAAGTGGGATTGATTCGTTTCGGCTTATCAATCCTTTGCAGGATATTTAAAGTTAGGAAACATGTTTTAGATTCTAATAATTTTGTTTGGAGATACTAATTATTTACTGATACAAATCTTACTAATTAACCCATAGCTGGGGAGATGAGGTGAATTCATATCTTTCTCAAAGGTATTTTCGCGTATATGAATGTAATGAACCGAGCGGGTATTGGAACGGAACTCAACTCTCAGTCAAGCGGTCACTCATCTAAGTACTGACCAGGCTCGACGTAGCCTAACTTCAGTGATCGTACGGGAACCAATGTTTCAGTATGATTTGGCCGTAAGCCGAAGATAGACAGAGTATTATGAGGATGTGATATTGGTTAATGGACCAAGATTGTAGTTGTCAGAGAAGAGAAGCATTCTCTCGGGAGTTTTTTCCACAAAGTTACAGTTCTGGGGAAGAAGCTATCTGACTGCAACATGCTTTTTATTTCTTCCATTAATGGTAAGAAGATAGTTTGCGACCATGAACATGGCATAGCATGTTTTTGACTGTGAAGTTCTGAGCGGAACTAAAGAATGGAATATGTCCGAATAGTCATATGGTGAAAATTTGGTGATGTTTCATTTGTGGGATAAGGATTGCATAGTGGAGAATAATTCATCACCCATAAGGCCGCGTAAACGCTTTTGAACCAAGTCGAGGATGGCAAGTGAGGATTGGGCAGCACCAGTTCAGATCTGGTAACAATACTTCATTCTTGCTTTGACCCGACTCTTATAGCAATAGAGCATAGCAGCAGAAGTTTGGTATTTTCTGGAGAGATACAAGTTAACTGACCATTCTTCCAGCATCTTTTGCAATTGCAAGAATGAAAGCGTTTCATCAGAGGTTGGGAGTAAGCTTAAGCCATATTAGGTTTTGAAAATGATTTTACTATAAGAATTCACTGAAAATACTTTTACTATAAGAATTCATTGAAAATGATTTTACTACAAGAATGCATTGAAAATAGTTTTACTACAAGCAGCATTGGAAATAATTTTACTATAAGAATGCATTGAAAATGATTTTATTATAAGAATGCATTGACATTATTATAAGAATGCATTGAATATGGTCTCAGTATAAGAATGCATTCCAAAGGTTTTTTATTATAAGAATGCGTTGTAAATATTTTACAAGAAAGCATTGTCGAGGCTAGACAATGAGAATTGGTCAGCACCAGCCGAGATATTGCAACGCTATACCATTCTTGGTCTGATCTGAAAAAAAACATGGCAGTGGGAGTTAGGTATTTTCTGCAGAGATTCAATGAAACGACCATTCTTCCAGGATCTTTAGCGATGGCACCAATATATGCGTTCCATTTTAGGTTGTGAATGAGCTTTTGCCACATTAGGCATTCGAGGCTAGAGGCCTTGTTGAGGGTATGATCACTCATCAGGATCTGTATAGATTTGGAGTTTGCTCGGTGGTGGTGAAATGTTACGAGTTTAGTTTTGGATGTATTGAATGATACCAGCCAGTCGTTTCCACATTGTTCCGTGAAAGTTAGGTCAGAAGAAAGATCAGCTGCCTGGAACGGGTCATCCAGATATTTTGACGTGCACCCATTCAATATGGTATCATCTGTATATATATATATATTTACTAAGGACCAATATGAAGAGGAATATAAAAAAAAACCCTGTAGATTTGGGTTCTTTGGAAAATCACTGAATCAAATATTTGTACAAATCAACAGTATCTACCAAAATTCTCTATTCATTTATCAGTATGATAGACATATTTAAAGATTGAAATATTTATCAGTAACACTTATCTCCCTTTACACCAAGATAGCCCATGTGAACAAACAGTATTTCCATTAAATCGTGTGGCCAGAGCAATGGCGAAGACGTATTTGTTATTCAGTACTGGCGCCAGATAAATCTGTCTGTAGTGGGTATAGCGAAAATAACTCACCAAAATAGATCGTCTTCAATATTTCACTTTGCTTGGACAACAGCAACAATAGATTTGTACAGCAGAGTTTAAGCGTCTCATTCTAAAAGTGTGAACCTTATTCAATGTAGTTTGTCACTGAAATACATACAATCGGAAGATTTTACACACAGTAATGGCAATTATAGTTTATATCGCTGTCATTTTAGCTTTAAGAATAGTAAAAAAAAATGGATCATTTAAAAACAATTTTGTTGGAATAAATAGCACGTTTGTTCATTTGCTATTAAATGTGACGACATATTTAAAGTCTTTTGCCATTCAAATATAAATTCGTAAAATCTTATGAAAGAGAATTAAATGAATCCATTTGCAAGCAAAGGAGAAAACTGGTCAAATACTTCTGACGGGTGTAATGACTGACTTGTCCCAAGAACTGAATCACATATGATATCCATGAAAATAACTTTTTGTCTCATATAAACTGACAGGGAGAGAAGACAGTATTTCTACTGCTTTGAATTATTTTTTAATTGTTATCTAGTCGCAAGACAGTTACTAATTCGAATCTTAAAATGGCTAGTTTTACACAAGGATCGAAATAGTTACGTGTGATATATACCAGTGCTGGTGACTATTGACAAAACCTAGACAAAAGGCCAGGATTTTATCAGCTCCTTGACATAACAAACGAGCTAGTCTTCTTCTTAACATCCACTTGCTAATCCCTATTCAACCTTATCTACTAAAAAGGGATTATTTTGCCGCTATGTCAGAGCTATAACTGCTCAGTCCACACTTTCCAGCTTTAGAAGAGTTAAAAAAAACTCGACGCGGTCTTGTCGGTGGGTGTTACATAGGAATAAAGTGTCGCTGCCGACACTTGAGTTTGAACATAGATCGCCAGTGAGCAAACACAGGCGATCCCATTATTGAATTAAGTAGATCAAATGACCATGGGAAAAACGCATAAGTAGAAAGTAGCGTGACGTCTAAACGATCGCTATTTCTAGACTATCCTCTATTACTATACGGATCGCTATTCTCTATACTCTTCACTATACCATTTCACTATTCAGGTCACTATTCGGTGGCTACTATTCGAGCGTGTATTATCGAACAAGTACTATTAGTGCGAGTGATATTCGAAGGCGTCTGACACCAGTATTGTTCAACGGCGTTACTATAGTTGTTGTATCTGCGATTACAAAGTCTCTACTACAACGAGCATTTCGAAAGTGACAATGAGTAGACATCACAAAAGTGAGGGTGAATATTTTCCCATCTGAAGCGCTGTTCTCCTTAGAAGCAGTTTGGCAAGAATATCGGATGCTCTGTCGCTATTTTCAGGGGAAATGTTCAGATGATCTCCTGTCTTTAGTTCCACCAATTCTGACATTGACAAAATGCATGCCACTTACATGAAGCCGAATCATCCACATTTACTCCGTGTTTCAATTATAAGGCTGAACTTTCAATCAGAATGTTTTGTTCCAAATACCTGCTCTTTTTTTTATTACATTAATAGCATATACCTCATTCAATAATCTACTACATTGAAGGTCTCTTGAGTCTTATAGTGAGTAAACATGCTATGCGTAATAAAGATTTTTACTGTGATCTAAGAATTTCTGTCTAAATTTCTAGGATGTGGTGTTATCATTATACTTTTCATATTCGGATTATTGTCCTCATCTCTGTTGTTGCTATCACATCATCAAGTGTATATCTATCTCGGTAGCCTACAAGACATTATCCAAGTTGCTTAAACCGTGGATCACTGAAATTGTTGAAATAGTAATTGTGAGTTCAATCCCTGGCACGGACAGTGTGTATTTGGGCTCAGTGGAAAGGAACAATAACCGAACTGCACTAAAAATAAGAACTAGACAATGAAACGAGAACAGTCTACACTCGTAGATTAAATAAAGGGCTCACTCAGTTCGGAATTCCCTGTTGGTTACCCAGATAGCTATATATCTGATGAAGGCCGGATGGTGTCGAAACGTTGTGAGAGCAACAATAAAATAAGTCAGTCCGAATATAGATAGATATTAATGTAAGAAAGCTTAATTTTTAGTGACAATAGTTTATTATATTTAATTTTTAACTCCTGATTTATTTTTTACGGTTTACCAACCTTTTGTGTGTTAATAAAAGCAGAAGCATATTTTGCATTATAAAATAAGTCTTTTTGTGGGATTGAATAATTCATTAGCAATTATTTGGAGATAACAATGATTTGTTTTCAGATACAATTTCTACTATTTAACCCATAGTTAGGAGGTGTTTGTGTCAGAAACGCCATCTTCTGTTAGAGACATCACAAAGTACATATGGGGCTTTCTAATTGCAATAATATCAGTCAGCTCTGGAATTTTACTGAGAACTCACAACTAAATTGCGCTTTTATATGCTTACATATTGTCAGAGAGGAGAGTGTTTATAGAAATATAAAATAAAATATTGTCAGAGAGGGAAGTGTTTATAGAAATATAAAAAAATATTGTTAGAGAAGGAAGTGTTTATAGAAATATAAAATAAAATATTGTCAGAGAGGAGAGTGTTTATAGAAATATAAAATAAAATATTGTCAGCGAAGGAAGTGTTTATAGATATTGTTGAAGCTTGGATAAGCATGGAATAATAATAATACAACGCAAAATGTACGTAAACAAAATGTATTGAAAAAAAGGAAAAGGTACACAATATTTACAGTTAGTTTTGGTATATTCTTGGGAAGACTGTTCCTGTAGAATGGGTTGACTTAATCGCAGTCAGGCAGAGTCTCTCGATTGGATCTCTTCTTACTTCCTCCATCGTCTTCCCGGTACCAACCCATATTTATATGGTCGGTACTCCGCTATGTAAATTAGGTGGATCGTACCACAACACCCTCCTCCCAAGCCTTGGAATCCCTTTTGGATTTCAAATTGGCTTCCTATATGGGTTGATGATTTTGGCTATTTCTTTGTAGATCCATTTGCCTAATTTTAATATTTTTTTCGTTTTGGATTCACGTCCAATGGGTCCGTGAACTTCCGTTTCCTACCGGATCTTCTTGGTTCAGGTGTATTCTGTGGAGGTTCTACCTGAAACATATCATGCATTATATCAATGGGATCTTCGTCCTCATCCGGTATACACTCTTCTTGCTCTATACCGTAATCTTTTTTAAGTTGGTTTTGGTGCCTTTTATGAGTATTCTTCGGCCCTTTCATTATGTAAATCAGGTCACCGATTCTCTTGTCCACTATGCCTCGTTCCCAGAACTCAACGTTGTTTTTATAGCACTTGAAAAACACCTTCTCTCCGGGAGTGTATCTTTTTCTCGCTGTATACATAGTATTTTTTACTCTATTTTTTCCTGGCAAACGCTTATCAAACACTGAC